CACTCTCTATGTGTTCCCCTCAAACTGTTCTCCACCAAATGTTCTAGCCATGCCAAAGTCTGAAAATTTGGGGCTCATTTCACTATCAAGCAAAAAACATTGCTTGCTTTGAGATCTTCATGTATGATCCTCAATCGAGAATCTTGATGTAGATAGACAAGACCTCTAGTGATTCCACAAATAATGTGAAAACACCTTGACCAATCTAAAAGATTCCTTCTTGTATGATCTATCATGTAACATGTTCTTTGTATTAACATAGTCTTCAAATAGAGTTTTTGAAAAAGAGTTGCACTGAAATATGGAAACAATTTATGATGATTTTTTTTTTTCCTTTGAACAAGGGCATTTTTAACAAATATTTCTACCATACCATGGGGGAGGGGGGAAAGTGATCCCCAGGGAATTGAACATCAAACCCAGGGTGGTGTTCCCACTAAAGGGCAAGTGACTAACCACTTGGCCCAGGCATGTGGAACAATTTCTGAAGAATTTATGCTGTGCCCACGAAGTTAATTGAATAGTTAATAGGAATCCAAACCAAAAGTGAAGGAGTCCAAACCTCTGTTGGGCATATATTAGAAAATCAGCATTTTCTCCTCCCCTGAATGTAGCATCATAGAAGCTTTACAAGATACCAATGTTGAAGTTTGGATATAAGTGCAGCTTATTTTTTGAACTCAACTAATCCTTGTCCAAAGCTTCTTGAGAGCCTCTTCACAGCAATTTCTTTTCTATCCAGCAGAGTACCCCACAAAAGTGTACTTGTAAAGTTAATTTCTTTCTTAACAAAGACTTCTTATTCTAATAGTCATTTTTACTAGAGCTTTGAGCATTTACCTTGGACATAGGCCCATAGCTACCGTCTCCAAGCTTTGTTCTTTGAAGAGAAGTTACTAGTGGCCTTCAATATTACATCTAACTCAAATTAATTGGAGTTCCGTATCTTCATTTTGCCTTTCTTCAATGCTGTCACTTTCTCTTCCTAAAAGGGCAGTAAACCTAAACAGCTTAACCTCAAATAGAAGAATGGTTGAGTGTTTAGGGTATTCCACAACTTCTATGTTTGCATCTACTTCGACGTTGGAAGCAAATAGAAGAATTTAATCAAAATCAAATGATCAGAAAAGAACTGATGGAAGTTGCTATCAATATTTAATGGCAACATGATTTGTGAAAGCAAAGAGATGTACATTCTATGTTTCTACAGCTCTAGTGAATGTCATAAGTGATTACAAGAACACCAATAACTACACAAATGGTAGTTGCAATTATCAGTCCTGTCTTTGTTTTAGTCTTGCCTTTTGCCTCTTCATGGTCAAATTCAATAAAGCAAAGAAGAAATATGCAAATTAGAGTCATAGCAATGAAATCATTCACATATTGACTGAGCATGGAACTAGTAACACCCAACAAAAACAGGAATCAAAACTTAATGGCACACTAAAACGCTAGGCTGAACCAAAATTAACCCAATTCCTGAATCAGCAGCAGACATTCGAATATATAAATCATGTCCAGTGGACTGGAATTGTTTAAGATCAAATAGATCACCATACCAGCTTGCACAGCCACTAGGTTCTTTAATATCCAAGGTTGCATAGGCCATAAAAGAACAATTCTCTGAGCATTTAGCTCTGCACTCATTAAGATCCATATTTTTATTAACAGTTCTCTCTTTTCTATCTTCATGATTAATTGGGAGCCATGTGCAGTCCCAACTACGCTGCAAAATATTGTAGTTAGACATTAATTTCTACCTGAATATGATTTAATTCAGGTACTACCTCTTCTTACAACGAGACAAGGAGAAAACTAATTGTTCATAAAATTAGTTGTCTAATAGGGTGTGGTGCACCAGCCAACAGGACAATATCACCTCATTTCCAGCTTTTCTTGGCAGTGAGTTGCAACTGGCTGTACAGTGCTGAAAATGCCACCATGCGATAGAAGTATGCCATGTGAACTGGGTTTTTTAACTTCTATTCATATTCTTGGCTTCTTCACCTGCAACATAATAGTTGCAGGAAGCTCCAATGATGTCAACAGGATTTGATGGAGGGGCGTGTGATACAGGGCCAATTTCTCCAGCCAACTTGGTGAGATCCATGATGTTTGTTAACTAATTATACTGTTTAGTAAGCAATTATGGCAGTCAGTTAGTTTATTGCGGTTAGGTACTGGCCTTTGTATTTAAGGAGTATTGTATTATGATTTTGAATTATGGAATGAGATTATTCAGAATTACCTCTTTTCTCTCTTTTCTCTCTGTATTCTGTTTCTTCCTTCTCATACACCCTTCTCTATTGGATTTATCTATCCCGCGTGCCCTAAGGTAGAATAAAAAGTATTAATTATGTAATAATTGTAATTTTTTATCTTAAAAAAATAAAGTTAACTTTTTATTTTAATCGTAAATAGCATATATTAAATTTTCATTGGTTAATTTTAAATTAAAAATTAAAAATTATTTTTTTAATATAAAATTTTACTTTTTTCCAAAAAAAGTGTTATAATTATTACCTAATAATAACTTCTTATCCTCTGCCCACAGGATATACAAACCCTTCTCTATTCCGTTTCTCTGCTTTCTTTCTCAATTTCTGGTTCTTATCAGCATGTATCCTAGTCATTTAGTCCACAAAATGGGGTCAGATGATTATTCATATTCACTTTTCCTCTACTTTCTCAGTAACCAAACAGAGAGGGTATGCAATTTGGATCCAATAGTCAATAATAACAACATAAAAACAAAAAGAAATACCCAAAAGTCAGTTTGCTTAATACATTTACCTGAGGCTGAGAGAATAACAATCCAGCTAGTTGTGCTCTTGGTCAAAATGGGAACGTGACTTCACCATCCCTAAATACAATTGGACCATCCCACAAATCCGACCTTTGAAAACGCCGACGCCGAAGAAGAAGATGACCAGGAGAAAAAAGATGAAATGAGAGAAGGAGAGATTTTATATTCCCCATCCGAAAATAATCTCTGGTCTGTGTACGCTTGGTTCCTAAGAAGATGGTGGATTATGCTCATCGGATCGTTGAACAGATGGTGGTTTCCTTCCGTAGCGGCCAGCCGGCGGACAGCCGTAGCGAGCGAGTCATAGGCTCGCATTTTCACTTTTTTTTTTTTTTTTCAAATAATTTAAGGCCTTATTATATTCTACCTCTGTTAAATACTCATTCGGTTAGTTTGAATTTTTTTCATTTATGGTATACTTTTTTAAAAATATTTTTATTTAATTT